TTTAACTAATAGCTTTACTCGCCTTAAGAGTTTTTCTTTTTATGTCAAATATTTCAAGTTAACCATGCTAGTATAACTGAGTCTTTGTTTCAAAAGTTGTCTTAAAATATTTTAATTTATAAAAGATATATAAGTACTTATTTTTACTTTGTAAAATAACTCACCATTACTTTTCATTTCTCCCATTGAGATTGCGGAGTTGAGGGTATTTCAAACACACACATTTGCAGGGCCTCTTGAGAAAGACATTTTTGTTTTTATAAACTTCAACTTTTGTATCCTTTCCTCTGAATTCAGTCTTTTCAAAGTGAGATTTCCATGGGGGAGCTTTTCCTGCCTTCAGCGGGGTCTGTATAGTAAAACTACAGCTCTGCATAAAAGGATTATGGCCATGTATAGATTTTCACTGTCAGACACCTTCCTTTGGGTAAATATTTATGTGGAATGAGGCCCAGCATCTAAAATAGCCCTAAAGAAGCTGCATGCTCTCCTTGACAACAACAACAACAGAAAAGTTTGTGTATTAACAGTTGGTTTAACTGCATCTGGCATAGGGAAAGGAGGGCAAAAATATACTTTGGTCCTGTAATATTTATAGCATTGCCAGTTTAACCATCGTGCCCTATTTAGGAATTTTTTTGAGTGAACTTCATTTTAATGTCCAAGATCGCAGTCCCAGGCTGGTGGCAATAAAGTTTATGCTGACTACAAAGGCAACAGAATATCTTTAATCATGATTCCAGGAAGAATGTGCATTTGTAGAAATCATCCTACATTCTTATACACCCTGATGTAGGAGACATTGATAATGTCGAGCAAACCAAACATTTGGAACTGTTTGATAGACTTCGTATGCTTTCATAAGAAGCACTGTGGCCTGGTATTGTAGCACATACCTGTAATCCCAGCACTCTGCGAGGCTGAGGTAGGATTGCAAATCCAAGCCCAGCTGGGGCACTTTAGTAACTTTTTTTGACATATATCTTAAAATTTTAAAAAAGGGCTAGGATTATAGCTCAGTGCAGAGGCCCTGGTTCAATCCTTAATACAAAAAAGGAGAAGTGAACAGAAGGCGGGAGAGGGGAGGGGAGGAGAAGGCCAGGGGGGACACGAGGCGAGGAGAGGTGTGGAGAGGAGAGAGGATGGGGGAGGGGGAAAGAAGAGGAGAGAGGAGGACAAGGCAAGAGAAGAAAGGGGAGGAGGAGGGCGAGGGGAGGAGAATACAAGGAAAGAAACATTGTCTTTCTGACTTTCTAAATGGCAAAGGCACAAGATTCCACTTGGAATTCTGAGAAACGCATATCCACATATATGGCAGCAACCCATCTGTATGACACCCCTGCTTTCAGGACATGAGCCAGTGCACGTGATGTGCATTGTTCAGATTACTGGAAGCTAAGCTCAAATGCACAATCACTGTACATTTTCAGTCTTTCAAAAACTTCAAATAGAATCTTTGCTTTACAAAGTAAAAATAGTTGCCATTACATTAGAAGTCTAATAAAAACTTACTCTTTTGACCTACTTAATATAGTTTTACCTGTCATGGTTTAGTCTCTTTAGAGACTCCTGCATTTCACTTTCTGAACTGTGCTACATGAAAATTTGTGAAAAAGATGGTATTTACACTAAAGGATGCTAGGCTGTCACACACAAAGCAACTAGCCTCTCTCCAAAGCTTCCAATATTTCTATCAGCTGGTGTGAGCCCTCCAGTTCTGTCTCCCTTTCCTTCTAATTTAGTGACTTGAGAGTTTGTGAATGTATTATAAATGTTTCTAAAATAAGAGTAAATTTGGTTTCATGTTATTACTTAAAGAACTGTCCTATGACTCGAACAGGAGAACTTTCATTTTTTTTGAAGTGCCCTCACTTCTACCAGGGTAGTCAAGGACAGCACCTTAAAAGAACACAGTGCTGGAGGTTGAGTCTTCACAAGGAATCTCGATAGTCTAGGATTTTGGTTTGTTTGTTTTCTGATGAAGAAGGAATGATGATGTGGCGGGGCTGGGAGGAGATGGAGGAGTGAGTTCCCCGGCAAAGGATCTCCTCCTGCCCCTCTGCCCCCACCATCGGTCTTCTAGAAGGGAGCTCCTCTTCTTCTGAGGGTTACTGGGTGCTCCTATGGGCTCTTGTCATGTAAGTAACTTATTCTTTCAGGGTAATCTCATGGCTGCCATTGCCTTTCCTTGTCAGTGATTTTCAAATCACTTAGATGTGATTTGCAAATGTTCTTTCTCTAGACAATCTTTCTTCTGTGCTCTAGACCATCATATCCAACCAACTGTTGCACAAATCTAGGTCCAACAGACCTCTCAAGTTCACTCTTCTTCCTAATTCTGCATCTCTTTACAGCTTCTGTATTTTGGTGAAAGGCCCTGTCACACAATGAAGCACAGCGAGAAGCAGTGATTTCTTCCTTGCTCCTTCTTTCCACCTCACCAGCTCTGTTCGGTTCTTCATCTTGAGTATCTTTCCAGGTTGTCAGTGTGTGTTTGTTCCCAGTCACCATCTTCATTCAGTGCCATCAGTCTTTTCCCACACTGTTTCAATAACTAACCTGTCTCTTCCCTGTTCTTTCCCCACTGCGACCTGTTCTCCACAATGCAAGGAAGATCTTTATAATAGCAAGCTTTTGGTTGCTGGGATCAAGTATCCAATGCCCACAATTTAACAGAGGAGATGGTTTATTTAGCTCATGGTTTCCAGAGATTCAGCCCAGGACAGGAACATCATGGTGGAAGCATATGGTAGCATGGAGGTGTGCTTAGGTCATGGGAGCTGGGAACAGAGCAGAGAACAACACCAGAGAGAAAGGGGTCAGGAACCAAATGTAGTGCTCCAAGGTCACACCCCAGTGACCCACCCAAACACACTCAAAAGTATGTTTTGCTAATCTCCTAGTCATGTGTTAATCCAGTCAAGTTGACAGTCATGATTGAGAGTCTCTATCTTCTTAACAGAAGTAGATCTAATCTCGTTACTCATCTGACTTATACACTTAGTGGCTACTAATTGCCTTCAAGATAAACACTGCGTGAATCTGCTCTTTAATCTCTTATGCTACTTGATCGTACCTGATTCTGATCACCTTACTGACACTAATTCTTCCTATGGGAAGTTTTTCCTGGCCTCCTGACTGGAACAGGGTCCCCTCTCTTTGTGCTAAATGTCTCAATACGTAACTGAGTAATGGAGAAGTGTTACTAAAAGATTTTTATTATACTTCCCAAAAGAAGGGTGTGTGCTTCACTGTGCAGGGCCTAATGGTGGGAGAGAACACCAGGGAAGTCACAGGCCATGGTCTTTGTTGTATCTTCCATGGGATAGGCAAGGTGGTCAGAAATGGGTTAGGACTGAGTAGTTTGAAGCATTCTACGATATAGGAGTTGTCCTGGGTTGATTTGAGGCAGCAGAAATATTGGCTTGGTATGTGAAAGTTAGATAAAGGGAATGGCTGAGGACAGGGACTCAAGACTGATTGTTCTGCATATAAAAGATGCGCAGGAGAGTCACAGCAAGTTCAAGGCCAGCCTGAGCTATAGTGAGTTCAAGGCCAGCCTGAACTGCAGAGTGAGACCCTGTCTCAAAAACTCAAAAAGCAAAACAAATGATTTAGTTTTTTCCCAATAATGAAATTCCTACCTCAGAGTGTAACATTTACCACCACTGTGCTTGGCAAAACTAAATTATTTGGGTGTACATAAGGTGAATGGAGCAACTGATACATATTCCTAACACAGTTTTCATAAAAATTGAGAATAGGCTATAAATTAAATAGAACTGACTCTGAAGACAATTCTGAAAAGAAGCTTTAGAACCATTTTATGCCAAAGTCACCAACATTGGACTGAGGGTGCAGTCTCTCAAGGTGACCATTTCCTGGAGAAATACTCATGTAGGGATGTACTTGTGATCATTACTCCACAGCTAGGCTGCTTTCTGTACTTTGTACGTAAGTGAAATTAACACTGAGTTTATGAAAAAATAAATTTTTTAAGGAGCATGTTATTATGCTTTTTCTACATTCAGGTTTAGTTTTTAGCTGTGATATACACTTTAAAACTTGGGGATTCCTCAATAAAGGAGTTATTTTATCTTTAAGCTCCTTCCTCAGATGTTAGTTTTCCTTTGGCCTAGACCTCATGTAGGACAGTCCTTAATGTCAAATCAAGTGTACATGAGGTATGTTTTCAATAGATTCATGCTATGACAGTGAATTAGTATAATAAAGCTGCAGCCTACCCTTGGCAAAGTACTGTCTCATTGCAATTTGCCCGAAACTGTCCTGATTTTAAAACTGAAAGTCGTACTTCCTGGGAAACTTCAGTCTCTGACAAACTGAAACCCCACTTCCCTGTATCTTAGCTGCCCCTGTATTATTTTTGGAATGTCTACATGAAAATAAAACAGTGGTTGCCTCTAATAGATAAGGGAAATGGACATCTCCTGTTATGGTTTGTGTCTAGATGTTCCCCCAGAGCCTCATGTGGTCACAGGGCTTTTTCTTCAGAGGTGGCTGAATCTAGAGTGTGTGATTGATTCCTAGCGCAATGCTGGGGTTAAGGGTGCTGGGATTAAGAGTGGGTGATTGCAGGATCGGTCCACTTATTAGATTGGCACCACCCTGATCCTCGTAGACTGGATACAATATAAGGGGCAGAAAGAAGCTTGTCTTGCTCTCTCACTTGTTGCTTTTGCTGTTTTCCACTGCCATGAACTGTTACCCCTTTGCCATGTGCCACCCTGCCTTGGAGCCAGCCAACTATGGACTGAAATATCCACAAAGTATGAACTAAATGAACCTTTCCCCCTTTATCCTTGGGTGTCAGCAACAAGAAAAATAACAGACATATCCATATTGAAAGTCAGCTGAAACTACATGGATGCATTCCCCAGTGATCATGCTGATTTGAACTGGAGTTAGACACTCTGCTGTGTAGCCATGGCCATGTTTACCAACCAGTAAGAATGAGAATGACAAGAAACACAACAACAATATTAACATAATTTTATAAGTTAAACATGAATTCATCGTGTTTATTGTAGTTGTTTTAGTTCTAGGAGAAATATTTTGACAGGCAAAGCAGTAACTTCCGTGTTTAGCTTTTCAGTGGCTCTACATAGTAGATGTAACAATTATATACAATGTCCAAAAAACACGTTATGGTGGAGTGTAGCTGAAAGTTAACATTCAAACTATGCTGTCATCTGGGGTATTCAGAGTTACACAGGTAAGAGAGAGGACGTTTTGAGGGCAAGTATCTGACTAAATAACACTTTTTTTTAAACATAGTTTTTGAAAAAGCAAGATAGGCCCATCCTTTAGACAAAGGCACATCAGCATCACACGGTCACCTAAACAGGTCACACTGAAAGAGCAAAAGACGCAGGGAGGGGCTTCCATCTAGAAAGTTCCCCACATAAAATGTAAGTAGGTCCAGATGCCATAGCCTTAAAACTCTGCATTTTTCTGTAATGTATTGCTTTTATTTTCTGTGTAGTGTCTAGCTTTGAAGGTTTAAAAAGAAAGTTAAAATATCAAACAAAACAGCACTTTTTTGCCAAAATGTAGGCTCAAGATGTGCTGTTGTTTTGTTTTTTTCTTTTTCTTTTTTTAAAGCTCCAGCACTATTTTTAATGCAACTGGCAGATGATCAGAAGAGGTCAGTGATTTTCAAGCTATTTCTGTTTTTTAGCTTTAGAAATGTGGCACTCAAAGGAAGAGAAGATCTGTTGGAGGGTTCCTGGGGGTGACAACCTGTGGTGGGCCCTGGTTTCCAACCACATTTGGGCCAGTACACATCCTCATTCTCTGCTCTTTCCCACATTAAAGCAGTAATGGATTATCCTTTCATATTGTCTTCACTTTATAGAGTTGGTACATTTTTTATGTCTTGACTAATATTGTTGGGTTTGTAAAGTCTTAGGTATACCAAAGCTGTCTCCTTATCATCTCACTCTAAAATTTCAAACTCATGACAAAATAGTGCTCTCTTTTCTAAATGTCTTACATAAAGTGTTTGAGAGGATGCTAAGAGCCTTAAGAGTGAAATTAATACAAAAGAAAAGCTTTCTTTTTTTCTGCAAAAATCAGTATGGTTAACTGAAAAAGATTCAGGCTCAGACATTTGGGTCAAGCACTTTTTGTTGACCAGTGGCTTCACTGAACTGATTAACTGGGTTGTTTTTTGGGAAGTTGCAGCTAAAACTTTTCAACCACCTCTTCTTCCTAATTTCTCAGTTCGATGAAGAGGAATATTTCAGTGGTGTTTTAGGTTTCACAAGAGATTACACTGTTCCTCGGCTTCAGGTCAGTTTAATTCATCTTTAAGCAGACGGAATTCTATTAACTTCAGAGTTTCTGGGGATAACCTTCTCCATCATGTCTGTATTATCTCTTTTACAGCCAGATGGGGAAAATGGTTTGCATCAGGCACAATGTATATTTGAACACTAAGGTCACATGCAGAGTTATATTACCTTTTATGGGCAGTGAAACACACAGTGTGGTGTGGGCGCCCTCCCCAAGCCGCGTGGCTAATGGGGCGAGGTTCTTTGTCTAGATTACCATCCAGCATTATTTTCCAAGCATGCTCATGTCACTAGCCTGAGCCGTGCGTGAAGCAACATTTCCTCTTGAAGTGGAGAGGAGGAGATGACCTTCAGTTCCAGCCTGCTAAAGTTTGATTAAAGCCACCTGAGATAAATTTATTGCCGCAAACTCTGTTTTATATCTGCTGTTGTCTTCAGGTCTTTCTTTCTCTGTAAAGGGAAAATCCAAATTATATTAATGAAGCCTGGCTCGGGAAAAGTAACCGTCACACTTGTGCTTCAGAATCTGTTCCCTTGTTAAGAGGCAATTTTGAACTCTATGGAAAATTAAAGCAATGATGGAAATGACCTAAGAGAATGGAACCATTTACTTCTGGCATGTGGGATGTTTTAAATCCTGATAGGAAATGTTTCCACAGCAGTGTGTGTGTGTGTGTGTGTGTGTGTGTGTGTGTGTGTGTGTTTAATTTTAAAAGGACAGTGTAGCTTGGGAATAAACACGATTTAAATAATAGTGAATAAGCTGGATATCATTACCACTATAGTCCAAATAACTCTCTCGGTTTAAGGCCATATTAATTTTAGGGATCTGATATTTTTGATATTTAGGCTATGTTTGATATTTTGAACAAAGTATAAAAAATTTAAACATGCATAACTATCCAAAAGGAAATGTGTTTGGTTTGTTAACTCTGCAAGCAAAAGAAAAAGAAAATCTTTTCCTTCTATAGAGTTTGTGTAAGAGAGGTTTAAAATGGGTGGTGTTGAACTCTCAGTATTTCCAATGGCGTTTTATAAAAGATGGAATTTTCAGTGTAGTTGATTACACTAATAAGATCCAGGTTGTTAACATTTTGGTTCATAAGAAGAGAATGAAGAACAGACTAGCTCAGTATAGACTAAAGATTAGCACTGAATTTTTTTTTTTTTTTGGTTTATTAGTACATGCGTGTAGTACATAATATTTACATGCCTTGTGGGAGGTTGGTACATGTACATAACACACCTTAATTCCTTTTCTCATGCCTTTTCTCTTCTCTCTCTCTCCCTTCCTCCCATCTCTTGATCATCTTCTTTTTTTGTACATTTTTTTGTACATTTCTTTGTACATGTTTTAGAATGCTTGCATTCCTTGTGTGGAGTTCGTACAGGTTCATAACACACTTTAATTCCTTTCTTCATCCTTTTTCCTCCCCTCCCTCACCCCTCCCTAAACCACTTGATCTCCTTCCTCTCTGAGAATCATCTGTCTCCTTATGTCCTATTATCTATCTTTTATTTTTACTCTAGGTTTCACATATAGCAGAAACCATATGATGTTTAAGCTGTGTGTCTGGTTTATTTCACTTCACATTGTGGTCTAAAAGTGCAACCCTTTTCCTACAAATGATGCAAGTTTATCCTTCTTTATTGTAGCGTAGTACTCCATTGTATATTAATACCACATTTTCTTCATCCATTCATCTGTTGATGAACATATGGGCTGCTTCCAAGATTTAGCTATCATGAATTGTGCTGCTATAAATAGGGGGTCACTTAATTTTCTGAAGGAAGAAAAGCAGTAGTCGGGGCAGAAAATGCTCCAAACCCATGTTCACTGAAATGATTCTTAAGGTTGCACATGGCCAAATTCGCTGGGGTGGGCTGGCTATCCACAGGATTCTGGCCTTACATCTCTGATTCAGCAGGTCAGGGGTGAGTCCAGGAAATTACATTTCTAAGAAGTTCTAAGGCAGTGCTGATACCGCCATCCCAGGGACTGCACTTTGAGAACTACTGTCCTCCCCACACCTGTGCTCCTGTGATCGGAGTTGAGCTAAGGCTCTGGCCAGGGCTTGGGCCCAGTGATGACCCACTGCTGACCCCCACCAGGGGAAGTAAGTCTTTCTCCTTCAAATGTCCAGTTCCTGGGATTATGATATTGCCCACTTTTTCTTCTTATTCCAGGAAGTATTGAATATATACTTTACTTTGTCCTTTCTACCTGGTAGTGAAGGCTCTTTCTTGGTCTAACTGACTGGAGAGTTTTAAAATATCAAAGCCTGGATCCTACCCACAGACAACTTGTGTAAAACTCTGTAAGACCTCAGTATATTTGAAAGCTTGCCAGGTAATCCTAATGTGCAGCTAAGATCAAAGCCACTAAGCATACCTTGGGGGCAGTAAGGCACCTAGGGGTGTGATAATTGGTCTTCAATTGGTTAAAAACATTTTAGTGATTATAGTGGAATGTGGGCCTCCGAAGGGCCACAGTACATAAATAGTATGTAAATAGGCATATAGCATATCTGCAGCACTAGTATTTCATGGCAAGGGTGGCAATTAGAAAAATAATATCACAAAAGGTTTCTTAGGAATGAAATGAAAAAATGAATGAAAGAAAAGTTGAGAAACATTGCCCGAACCGTGTGAGATTGTTGTTAGCTTTTAGTAGTCTGACTTTCAAAATGCACACAAATCTAGTTAAGTGCTCTTGCAATAGTAAGGAAAAATATAATTAAATTGTATTACATGTTGCTGATGCAGCTGCTTGGTGCTTATATGTTACCATGTGAATCCTCAGCACCCTGTGCTTTCTCTTCAGAATATACATCAATATTAGTTTCACTTGATTCTGGCTGCAATTCCATATATAAAATAGCTTATAATGAAAATTATGGTTATGAGTTCTGCAACCAAGATCCATTTGAAACTGTAAGGCAACCAAGTAACTTCACATTGCTTTTACTCTGAGTAGTTCTCAGGTACATTTAAGTTTTTAAAAAATGTAACTACCATTCTATCGAAATAAATCAATGGAAACTAATCTCCACATCCTACTTTGAATAATATTACTTCTCTAAAGAATTCTAGAAGGTTATTATTTCATTAATTTGTAATTAAACAGTCTTGGAGGGCTGGGATTATAGCTCAATGGTACAGCGCTTGCCTATCATGTGTGCCCTGGGTTGTATCCCTAGCACTGTAAATAACAGCAAGCGTTCTAAAGGGCAACACTCACAAAAAAGCATATTAAAATATCAGTGACTACATATCATTTTCCTCTATTTGCAAGGGTTTAGTTTGTTTTGAAATGTATTTGGATTTTGTGTTGTTCAGGTAGGTGAGGCCAACACATCAGTAGATAAATTTTTTTTGTGTCAGTAGATAATTGCCATTAAGAAGGTGGCTTGTTATTTTTCCAAGAAGAGGGTGTTCGTGTTGCTTTACAGACCTGCCTGGGGAAGCATGGCGTGGATCAGGAGGCAGAATAGAACCAGTTTTATTATTGTTGTAGTTCTTACTTTTACTGTCCCCCAACCCCACCAAGAAAGGAACATGGTACCCTAAAGACGAACTGAACTAAAATAAAGTAAACAAAGGCTAAAATTCTAATCTAGCTCTTTACTCCTGGCTGGGCAACCTTGCGCCAGGTGTTATAAAATGCAAATATATATCTACCCTTGAGATAGGAAACAATTGACAAACAAAACATGGGAAACAGATGAAGATTAAAATACCAATGTTTGAAAAACTAAAGCGAATTTCGAGATGCAGCTAAGAGGTATAGCCACAGAGCTTCATAATATTTCACTCCAAAATTAAAGCTCCCTCACAGTCTCAGGCAGAGCTGGAGAGATCCGCTCGTCTGAATTCCTCACAGGGACTGGCTGAGTGCAGGTCCTGAGCACGGTGGTGGTGGGGGTTGCTGCTGGTCAGGAGACTGAAACGCTGATCTGAGCCAGGTCTCCTCTGTCCCTTCTTCCTGTCTCTGTCACCAGGCGAGGCGATTCTCCTCCTTCTGTGGCCACCAGAGTCCCTGCCCGCCTGCCCCGGCATAATTAGAAGCAAGAACTGGAAATTCCCTTACACTACTTTGAGGATTCTTGGGAAGATAGACTGCAGATGCTCTCTGTAGAATACCCAGCGAGAGCAGTAGGCATTTTAGATCAAAAGAGATAAGACAAATTCGTCCAGACTTCATTTTCCACAGTGATTCTTCCTTTTCCTGACGTTGAAATTTAGTAAAATAGGTCCCTCTTACTATCTTGTATATTTTTTTAATATCTGAGATTAACCTTTTTAATTCATGAAAAAAGTGAATGTTCTCTCTGAATCCAAGGTACTTACTATTATGTATCCTGAATTAACTTCAATTGATTTTATATATGATTTTCAGATTCCAGTTCAGGAAATTGGAAAAAATTCCACAAGTAATATAACACTAAATTGCAGACATGAACAGTAACTCTTACTGTTTCAATTGTTATTGTTAGTATTTAGGTTGATCACTTTGGTTGATAGATATTTAATTAGTCACTTTAGATAGAACGAGTTAACACATTCTTCTTTATTACAGGTTCAGGCCAACAAATGCGAATTTAGTATGTTCCAGCAATGATACTAATATTCCGTGTGCTATATATCAAGTATTTCTACCTTACACACTGTGCCATGTGTTTTACAAACCTTTATTTCTATTACTGTAACCACCCTGGAGTTATTATTTTATTTTTATAAAGGAGAAGATTTTAGCTCAAAGAGGTAGAGTAATTTTCCCAAAATTATAAATTGAGAGCTGTAGATTTGGGATTCTAAACCAGAATCTTGAAAATCCCATATTCTTTCCTTTAAAGGTGTCTTTTTGTCCTTCTTGGCGAAGAATCCACTGTATTTGCCTCAGAGGAGTCAGCACTCTTGGTCAGATTCTATGCTTCGAGCTGGGTAGTGATGGATTTGTCTTTATCATGCTGTGCCCCATGGCCCAGCACAGGGATAGCGTGGGTAAACTACTCACCACTTGACTGATTAATGAGTAAAGACATATGATTCTCAGAAATAAGTAACAAATATTATCAAAATGTGATCATCTGTAAGACCCAACCTTTCTCCAACCACGCCCTTACTTTGGGTAATCAAAAATTATAGCTGTGCACTCTACGAGGCTTTTGAACACTGTACTATGTAGAATATCTGTAGCTGTATTTTTAATTTGCATGTATAACTGTGAATTCCTCAGGTATATTAGAGTTTCCGAGGAATTGGTACAGATTGCCAGGGATTATCCAAGTGAAGATCATAAAACTGAGCATGAAAATCGGAGCATGAAGTTGGGCATTGATGAGCTCCGGGGAGAGCCAGGGATATTGATCTGCCGTGGTCCTTTCCTGTGAATTCTTTCTTGCAGTGCTAGAGTAATTGACAAGGAACGGATCAGAGCGCAAAAGGCG